GGTAAATAAATCCCCAAAATAAATAGCTCTGTAAGTTTTTGATATTGGATGCTGACCAGATTAGTTTTAGTGGACTCATCTAGCTGAAGGCGCTCGGTCATTCATTCGCACCAGATCACGTGTGGGAACGCCGTGCTCAACATATACTGCAATCGCTAGCCAGACTAGATCAGACAATTCCGATATATTGGCAATCGTCAGATACAACTTCTGATCTCCTCGATTCTGTCTTTTGATTTCTCTTGGTGTGTACGAGTTATATTAGATGTTACTGGTAAAAGCCCTGTCAAACACTGAATACCTGTGCCATCTTCAGCACCAAGTACTTGCACTGGTCATACGTTAAGCTGCAAATCACCAGTTATTGTCATACGTCGCAATATAAATTGGTAGAAAATCTCTATACTAAACCATTCTGTGCCATTATAATTACAACTTGTCCAACTCCCAAATAATATGTACACAAATTTTCATTTTGCAAGTGTTGAAGACAAAGTCAAGTATTTTGATATCATTACATGTATTTTCCGATCAGTTGTTGTTGTATTCTATTAGTTTGTCTTTTAGTTTATCGATACCCTCTTGCGCCCGATAATCCTATCTGGATTTGTGTCAAAGCGATGTACATGTATGTATGGGACATATCATTTAGTAAGTGAATGTTACTTATAAGGACATAGTCTTCACTGATGACTTCTCTTCAAGCCCTAACGCGTAGTTTTATGCTTTCTTCATTCAGTGAGTTCGAGTTCACCACAGAAGTGCGTCCACTTAAGACATTTTTAGATGGCTACCGATGATTAATATGAAGTTTCTCAATGGAAATGACACTCGTATGTTCAGCACCGATATATTAAACCAGCGGAAAAATACGTGTGAATGCTAAATATCCCACTTTTGTTAAACAAACCAATAAAATGGTTTTCTTTATCCTTCGATGACCTTTCTCCAACTCTTATTTTTGCAATAGCATTTGCTGTTATGTGATTAGTTGTCATCACTTCCATTTTTTTAACCTTGTCGTGGGCCTCAAAGTTACTGCATGTCTCTTCTAAGGGATATTAAGTTATCATGATAAGTCTTGATTAGTGAAGTTACCTGTGAGAATCTCAACTTTGGACTCTGGAGATGCAGATATGCCCTCAGATATTCCCGGTTAAGCCTCGTCCTCTGAGAGACTCAGTTTTATACTTCTAAAAACGTCTATTAATAGATAGCCAATAATACTTAATGAGGTTTGTGATGCTTTTGGTTGTTGCCAGTCTATCATTTCTCTAGTTACATCCCACTTTATCTGTCTGAAAAATCATTATCTTTAGGTTGGTTGAACCGGCATTGTTATCGACGATAGTTACCCGAACTGAAGCTCACCTGCGGTGTCAGCTTGTAAGATAAATTTACGTGGGTAAAGGAGTTTTTGTAGTTAATTCATGGTGCCAATGCTTACGAGAAGCAATGGTAATACTGTGCACTGTTTCAGAAGTTACAACTAAGTGAGCGAAACAGACAAATCGTCAAGATATTGCATGTTACTCGAGGAGTCTCCGACTTTCCAGAGGATATAAGGTCAGTTGAATCAAGTTGAATCTCCCAATCGTACCTAAGGGTATAAAGAGGTTATATCCTGTAAATTGCTTGAGAATTCACAGCTGCTTGTTCTTCCCCTGAATTTCAGAACGGCACCTCCAAATGTCTACTCAGAGATTTCACATTGACTGACTTCAGCACCAAGCTGCCAGTGGTTGTGACAGACTTGGAACAACCACTCCGTTATATGTACATAAAAAGTTTAAGGAAACAAGTGGATCTTTCAGAAATAATATCCTCACTTTTTAATCAAGAAGGCTATATTATCCCACTACATAAAACTCGCTCATCATTATAGCTGATCTAGAGATATGGAATTAATATTGCAGTATACCTCTACCCAAAATATTGTTACTACAGCTTTCGTGTTAGTCACTACCTTTTGCTTCATCTATAGAAGAATCCAGGATAGCTCGAGGTCTACTTTTTCAAACACAGAAAGCTTTTCACAACTCAATCGGAAATAATACGGAATATAATTTCTACGCAAATAGGGGAGGAGGGTAAATAGATACTTATGCTGCAATGTTACGACATTTTCAAGATGTTTTCGGACAACCATTCATCACCCAAGTTATGTCATTACATTAGTGTCCTCTCAGAATAGACGTCCATAGGAATGGCGGTTCAGTCAAGTTGTTGAACGGGAAGTCGCACTTCGGTTTACGCAGCCTAATTGAGAATTACCAACTCCTTGAGTGTTTGGCCTTCTTACTTTTGTAACCAATGGCGACCATCGCCCAGTCAGTGTTCAGAGGTAATCTATAGACGTCATACACTTGCTATCTTATCTCGGCAGCATTTACCTTCTTTCCGTTAATTATCTCATATGACTTACTGTACGTGTCCTTTACGCAGGACTCAGATCAAGTAAGAGAATGGGTGATAAGAAAATGGAACAATAATGCATGAGGAGGTGCCACGTAGAAGAGGTACGACTTTCTCATGGTCTGTCCAAGTATCAACTGCGCAGCGGCAAATAAATCCCCAAGCTAAATAGTTTTATACGTTTCGACATTGATGCCGACCTCGTTAATTTCACTGGACGCACCCTAACTGAAGGCACTCGTTCACACATACGCACTAGGTCACGAGTGGGCACGCCGTACTACACATCTCACGAAACTAACAACCAGTTTAGACCATACGCTTCTCGACATGTCTATCGCTTCTCAAGCATATTTTTGAACCCCATAGTTTCCCAATTCTGATTTGACTGGTTGGTACACTTTGATTAAAAAGATGATGCGAGTAAAGGTGTTGTCGAACTCGGAATATCTGTGGCAACTTCAGGTGTTTAGTCACCTGCCTATTTAGCCATCCCAAATCCAGAAATAAATAATCCAGTTTTGAAGAACAAGTAGATAAATACAGCCAAACAAGAGAAATCGCTTTATTATTCGTATACAATGTCCAGATGCAAAAAGAAATGTGCATGTACGGGTGATAAATGTTCGGTTCCATATATATATTTGGTCTCGCACATAATTTTGGTAACCTAGTAGGAAATAGATGTGGTGTAGACATATTGGGCACGAATGAGCGTTAAAACGGGAAGTTACATAAAGAAATAATATCACTGTGAGTCTTCCAGGAGTTGGATCTATCACCTAATTTTGATTAAATACATAACCTTGAGTTTGTGATGAACGCTTTCTATAACCTCTTTTACAACTGCAGGCACTGAGTGTACGTCGACCAGGGATAATCGAAACATGAAAGGAAGAAGAAAGCAGCAAAAATACTCAAGATGAAGTCTTTGAGTCGGCGACATAATCAGAATCTTACTGACTAACGACTTGCCAAAGTTGACGTGAATATGCATATTATAGTAAAGAAGTTGTAGTTCCTTTAGGTTACTCGAGAACTGGTATTTCTTCTATTCTACAAGTGTACATCTAATACCAGCCGTAGGCATCGCTAATAATCGATCAAAATAAGAAAATATTACCGCCAGGCCCAATGTGGAGGGATACAGCCATATCATAACCAACAGACCTGTCCATCGGATGGGTATTCGACCTGAGAAGAAGGTGGTTCGATCGCGTGCCAAGTTGTTACTTCTGTACATGAAACTCGCCCCCACACACAACGTTCTCCGGCTCTAAGTTACTCGGACATGAGAAAAGATGAAAAGATACGTTCGGTCGGAATGAGTGATCGATGCCTAAAGCTATGTGGCTTATATACTTTACGTACGCCATCGTCTTTTTTTTCTTCAGCATGAAACAATAGGGAGGTCAAGTATTTGGGCTGTAATATTTTTCTGATTATCAAGATGTTTCTGGCCAACTTTTAGAAACCCTTCTTACGATTTTTCCCACTGATGGGGCAGTAACGAGTCAATCAGTCGTCTTTTTATGGTTATATTTATGATTTTGATCTGGCACACCGACATTTATTATGAAAACAGTTGATAAATTGGACGGATTCGAGCAGGTCATAAGAACATAATCTGGCAATTGACGTTACGAGTCCTTCGTATAATTACAGACAGATTTCTTTGATAGCTGTACACCGAATTGCCGTAATGATGTAGGAAAAGCTAAGGCACTCCAAATGTTTGTCGTTTTGATCAGCAGTTTACACACGGAGAGGCATTTGAACTTTATTGTCTAAAACATGTAGATAATTGTGCAGACACATAATATTTACATATATGTAGGATACTAATTTTATCGACACGTTTTCTGTTTGCACATCAGTACTTGTTGTGTCATACGCACTGAGCACGTTGTTATATAACAACTGATATTGATTGAATAATTTTGTTCATTTAGTGAGCCAAAAATTTGTCAAAGAATTATTCCAAACGGGGTTTGAATTTCACCCCCTAAAGTTCATAATTTTCTTATCGGGCATCTCACTACTCAAAACGCACCACACTGCACTTGTCCAAAAACAGAATGTGTTAATCTAGCTACAAATTGCGTATACGGCAGTTTCTGTGTAAGTTTTGTTCATACTACAGGAATTTGAGAAGTTTCGAAGTCGTTCTTTGCCGAGTTAATCTCAAAACAAATTATATTTTAGACGAAATGATCCATCAGTGATGCCATACGAAAGTTCTTAAGCCAGATATGAATGATCTGAAAAGCAACCGGTCATTGTATGAATTTTGGTTTCAAGTAAGCGAGGAACTAAGTTTAACATACTTATCATTAAACAAGAAGCCCTATAGGAAAAAGACATATATCAACATTATGAACTTCTTATATCGGGCAATCTTACAAATGGAGCATAAACCCTAAAATAGTCTATTGTTATTTGCCACAAAGTATGAGTTAAAACTGTTTAAAACGCGCGGAAATAAACAAAACAGACGAATTGCGGCGTTGAGATGAGAAATATCTATCCAAAAACCCACACGTTCCACGTGCACATAAACGTCAGAAACTACTTTTTACAGTGCCCCTGATTCTGACGCGGAACACTTGAATTGTAAGATTACCCGCTGGTTTTGGAAGCGGCTGAACTATTTAATTCTACTTTTGATCCCAAGGTTATCTTAATCTGAAGCTAGTGTTATTGCTAATTGTTGTCAGTTGCTTTCCGTGATAAATGTAAGTGCATTATATGCGCTAGCTGGGCGCTCATTTAAGAAAGGTCAGTGATTTCACACTTGTTGTGAACCTTAGTTTACAACAAAGTTATAACTTTGCTTTTAAGTATTTATCGCATCAAAAGCATACTTCATTCAATTTAACTTAGATTATTCCGGCCAAGGTTTGGAATTTTCTCCAAATCTGTTTTGTGGCACTTTCTTAGTTGATTATCACACTAGGGATTATCTCGTGTATTTTGCCGACTTTCCCCTTTAAATTCTTTCGCAATAGTTGCCTCTATTCTCATGCGGAGGAAGGAATGCATCGTGATGACTTCAGAAAATAGGTTCAACAATATATGTGCCCGTTTAAATCTCACTGCATACAAAAGATATTCGATGTTTAATTCCCATCGACTTTGTATATTTTGCTGTTCGATTATGACATTACCGATTCAAGAGGCAATTAGCCTTCTCACGTTGGTCAGCAAGAATGTTGATCGGGGCTGGAGTGGAGACATGAGTACTGACAACGAAGAATCAGTTTGTAGTAAGTAGTGTTACGGAAAGAGCAAAATACCCGACTGCGAAACATGCAAAAGGCAAGTATATTTCAAAACAAGTAAAGTGTGAAATGTCACTGTTTATTTGTAGTTACGGTTTGAAGGTGGTGTCTGTAGATCCATATAAAACCGTCACCGTCCTAAGTACCGAGTTGGTTGTCACGACTGAGGGAAAATGGGCGGCAGTGGGGGAATAAAGAAGAGAAAGGAAAATAGCCACAAACAGTGTCCGTTTGGTCGATAACTATCCGTTAAATTTCCATTCCGAGTCACAGAATACTCCGCGAAGCCCCCAAAATAAGACTACACATGACCCTAGAGTGGTTGGAAAGTTTGATCTCATCAGATGTTATTTCGAGTAATTTGCTCAAATCAAACGACCCTGATCCTAAAACAACTAAAATAAGCTCCCGTCACTTAACAGGCAGGAAATGACAACGCGACCGAAAGCCGTAAACATGACTTTCAAGGAAGTAGAATTCGTCCCTAGTTTAATTATTTGGAATTTGGAGAAGTCAAAAGGAAAAAGGTTCTTTTACCTGTTTTTTACCATATGTAGTTCACTAAGGATTGCTAAAATAATAACTTTAGTACGTTCATACTGATTGTTCCCATTGTCTAAAAGGAATTTATGATAGCCACAAACATTACTTACATGAGCTACTGAGTTACGCTTATTGTAGTCATGAAATCTAGTTGCCAATGCAAATAAAGCGTAAACCAGCAAAGTTGTTTTCATCGTTCGTTCGACGCTTGTTTTTAGTTCAGATTTTGTATTCGTTGTTGGACAACATGTTTTCAAGTACTAAGAGTTAAAAAGATGTTTCAATCTGATCGCTATTTAAAAGGGCTAACTTGGGATGTCTGAGTTCTAAGACAAAAGGGAAGGGTTATTTGAAACCAAGCTGTTAACGAGTCCATCTCAGAAGATAGGACTGCTATCCACCCTCTTCAATCATCTTGCGAGTTTCATCAATTCTAGTGTTTAACGAAATCTCCGCATGAATGCTAAAAACCCGACTGGCTTTCGCCAACACGCGTCACTTATGACGTAGGCGAGATATTCGTCTACCAACTTAATGACAAGGTTGCTGTTCAGCAGTTCGTTCCATCTTACTTCTTGGATATGGAACAGGATATTCTTAGGTTATTATTATCTGATCATAAATGTCTTCGAGGCACCGCTCGTGTATTTTGAACTACCGAGTTAGAGGTAGTTCACTGGGTAAGTGCTGCAAGCCGATTGATGAGACAATAAATCGTCATCAACTGAGGTTGTTGAGATATGTGTTACGAATACTCAACCACCACCTACTTCGATGAGCGGCGTTGTGTAGTGTGGGAGTAGGGTGGAAGAAAGCTAGGGGGTCAAATTAAAACGTGGGACCAGTCTGCGAAGTCACTGACAATTAGATTGAGCCGTGTCAACAGGTGTAGACCACCTGATTGGGGCCCTCGTGATCATCATTAGGGACTTTGAATGGTTGGGTCAAAATCGTTTGGGATGGCGCAGGTACATCCATTCATTGTCTCCCCCTAGATTCCAAGCTCCTCATTTCCCCATAATTTTTTAAATTTCACTAGTTTTTATCTTATTGAGTGGTATCTCTGGTGCCTACTATTTTTTATTACCACTACTGTTACTACCTGTACTATTCTGAAATTAACCCTAAAAAGTTACATCTCATTGTGACCAAGGGGTATGATTAATTGGACCAATGTACACACGCATACTAGGCTCTACGTTGCGCGTAACTGATTGACCACTCAGCTGCCCACACAAAAAGTGGAGTTGTATTCACATCTGGGGATTAATAGTCACTAGTCAAGTGCTCTAAAGAATAAGTCACTGCTTCACTCATGAATTGGAAAGTGAGTCGTAATAGACACTACTGTGGTTTTCCTGCCTTTTAATAACAATTTGTAATACGGTCAGCAAAACGTTTGCAAATGTTTTGCAGCAGCAAATAACACCCAATGTGTCGGTGAAGGAAACAGAACTATTTCTTGTAAATCCAGACATTCTTAGTTTCATTTTTAGTAGAGTTCCTTGTCAAGCGATTTTCCCTGATGTTGGAATTATTCCTTGAAGAAAAAAACAAGTTCTAGCAAATGGACATAAATTAGTTTTATTTCGTTAAGCTAAATCATCTTGGAAACTAGTTTTCAAATAAGTTAATATATTTTCTAGAAGTGAAGCTGATGAAAATTTAGTGTAAATGTAATAAAAAATTGAAGAGAAAGATTGATTATGAATACAGTGGTCTTGAGTGCTGTTAGAAGTATGAGGGCGATTATCACTTCCCTGATGCCCACACTGGAACTCTTCCGGAGGTACCTGAAAAGGAAATTGGATCAGAGGTGGTTTTAGTGACCTGAGAGTGTGACCACAGTGCCCAAGGGACAACTGCCTGAGTTCGGTCACTCACGACCTTTTTGTGGGTAATTTTCGTGTTAGCTCCGTACTTGTTGAGACCTTACCTCCGGAGACGGATATCCGTGGGATAAGGTGAAGTGTGCATTTTAGGGTCGACCTTTTCCAACCCCACCTCCTTGTGGGAAGGAAGCATCACTGTTATGCCGGTTGTCTGAAGGAAACACCTTACTGCTGTCACACCTCTGTACAGTCAGCAGTACGACTCCGCCTTCGGACCTTGAGTTTGTTGCTTTTAGTCTTACCGCTCTTCAGTCGACCTGTCTGACATGGTAGGACCTTGAGAAACGATTGTTCCGGCCAGTATAGCTTGATTGGTTGACCACGATAGGCAAGCCCAACCTCCACGTTAAGGTAGCAACAACGGTCGAGGAAACTTTAGTGTGGTGTAGCTAAGATCTGAATAAAAAATATTGAAAATAAAAAGTGTAAAAGAAGGTCCTAGGACGTCAGTCTGGGCACTAAAAAAAGATTTAGAGCTGAAACTGGGTGGATATGTAGTCAAGTAATATAATACAGGTCAACGACAGTTAAGGATTAAACGAGTCAAAGTCAGTCGTTTGAAAGTAAGATTATGAACTAAAAGAAAATGGTGTGAGCAGCTGATAAGAATCAAATTAAATAAAACACATTCGTGTTATTCTGCTCAAATCATTGCTCTCTTTTCAAGTTAATAAAGGGAACTTAGTGCATGAAATCATTTCTGTTGAAAAAGTTAGTCGTAGTCTCAATCAAAATCACAAGTCTGATAAACGTTTCTTCTCTAAATTCCAGATTTACTACTTATTCAGAATTTAGTGCATTCGTTATTGTCGTGAAAAATGTCCAGTACTGCTTTAACTGCGATTTCTGTAGCCGTAGGAGTATTTTTCGTATTCTTTGGGACGTTAAAGCTTGGTCCATTATTTTCTGATGAGCTTTATCGCAGTGTGGTAAATTGTTTTCAAGAAAAAACCTTAATCTGTTTAACAGAGAAAAAACTTCATTAGGATGTTCAAGACGTTTCCGTTTAGTTCGTTTACTGGTTGGAATCCGAATCCTCATGTAATTAGACGAGTTTATGGAACGACTGAAGTTGTCGGTGGTATTGTACTTGCAGCTTGTTCTGGGACTGCACAGGATGTTAGCAATGTTATACTGCTTAGTCTTATGCTATTCCATCTATTTAGTATATGGCGCGTAGCAGATGGACTAAAAGAAGCTTCTAATCTCATTGTTTTATGTTTGATGCTAACATGCAGGTTTATCATACGGATTCAAGTGAGTTATCGTTAACTAGGTTTATCAATAATTATTCATTATTCCATACCTTTGTACAAGTTGAGAGTTTATTATTTACGAGTCCATCCCATTTAGTTAACATGTGAAACTTTCAGTACTGAATATTTACAATGCCTAAAGGTCCAGTAAACCTTGTGTTTCAGCTATTAAGTCTCAGGTTCACATCCCAGTTTACTTAAGTTTCGCCGTTCGGGTAGTATAATTGATTTTCACACAAACAGTACAGCTTAAAGCGGAGTACATAAACCTTCACTTGGTAAATGGTTTACTGCAAAACACTAGGAAAGTGAGGAGATGCGATCACCCCTATTCGTTGGAGTTAGGATTACACAGTTCCGTCATCCTCTTCAATTTCACAATTGATAACTATAGAAATGGCTTTGGAGGAAGTCCGCTATAGTAGTTACCCCAACAACAATGTTATCCATATAACTACTTTTCACTCCGAATTACTCCATGATTAAAAAGATACTTGACTATTTTTGTTCTCCTGAATACTTAAGTTCAGGGAGTATAAAAAGTTCACTTGACTTTTTCCAAGTTTTTCCACTTGCAGTAAAAATAAGATATTTATTTGCTTGTTGGTGACAGAGTATTTCACGTGATAGGATTCTCGTTGCTACTTAACAATGATATTTTAGCGTATACCTGAAGTAATGAGTATAAAGTTACTAAGGTGCTGATCCAAAGCTTTGGAACAAAAGATCATTACTTTGCTTCGTAAATCCAAAACGACCATTCTAATGAAGTCCAAGTTGAATTATACCTCGTAATGAAAACAATTACAGTAGTTTGTTGTAGACACATGTTGGGTTTATTTGTTAGGAATCAGATACAAATCATCAGCAATGAAAATACATCATATGTATGACATATATTTTAAGCTTATTGCTCATCATTAAGTCTATACAAAGATTACACTGATAGTCCAACTGTTATTACCTCATGAATATACATAGTGCTCGATACAACAAGTTTAAATTTGAATAAACGTTTATTTTTTAAAATTGCTTTCATTATACTAAATCATTCTGTAAGCATCGCAAACGAATTTTCGGTACAAATGTTGATATTCTACCAGAACAGAGATGTGATGTAATGATACAGGCGGTTGTGTTACATTTTAAAAGTACGTTAACTGCATCTTTTTACTTGTTTGTGTAGTTACCTTAACTGCTACTATGGGAAAAATCACCTGTGAAACGACCAAATAATGGTCAAGACATCTAATTTTCAATCAATGTCACAAGCTTAAAACGCTACTTCAATTTGAGTAGCTTAGGTGACATTACTAGCTTTTACACATACTAAGGTATAATACATAATGCTATACTACATGGAATTGTGTATGGTTAATTTGCATTTAATTCCCTACCGGTTAGACTGTAACAATTCTTTGTCGGTTTTGAAAACTTCGAAAAAAACACTGATTACTGTTCCTTTTGCGCCTTTACTACTGTTCGTATATTTGTTTTTCTCCTGTCTATTGATTTTCCGTTTAAGCTTATTCAAAAGAATGAAGAGGTGACGGAAAATAATGAATATCTTAAGAATGATATAAGAAGACGTATTGTTCTCCTACAGGAGGAATTGCAGAAAATGAACACTTTTAATAATAATAATAGCAGCAACACCAATAAAACAGAAAACGACACACACAAAGTAGAATGAAGTTTATATATTCCAGTTGAATAAATCATGACTTTTTCTCATTGTAAAGGATAATGTCAATGCATTTATTTTGTTGTCCTTTCATCAATGTTTTTATTTGTAATTTAATTTAATGCTTCGATTGTTTTTCTATGTTAGCCATATATATAATCTGAATGAACTTATATTTTCAATAAGTTGAATACGTAATCTGTCAAGCAAACACGCGAACTTTTTTCTAAACTTCATTTTACGGGAATTTACTCCTCTCCCCTAATCGTAACGATACACCTGCCCCATCTCCGTTTCCGTTATTACAAATATTTCTTGAACTCAAAAATATGAGACTGGCTTCGTCTTCTAACGTTATTCTAGAATTATATGCACAAATGGTCCATCTAAATTGAGTTCACCACTAATCAGTCGACTGCTGTAAAACAAAAGAGACTCCACATGTTTGATCTTTCGAAAAACAAAGCTGACCAGTCACCCTGATCGTGTACCATCCATTACTGAAACTTGAATCATTTAAAATGAGCTGCTACCTGCAATGCGTTAAGTTTATAAACCAAAACGAAAGCCACTCAGGTGGATCGTATAGTATTGCGGCTCGAAGAACAGATTATGGTGATCACCTGATGCAGCTATGCTCAGATAACCGTTTCTCTCTAGCAAGCACTAACTTTAAGCATAAGGAAAACATTATCTGACATGGTGGCCTCGAAATCGACTCAATGATGGGCCCAAATAGGTCACATTGCATCAGCCATCAATGGAAAAGCTCGAAGAAGGCCTCGCTCATTCTGGAGCCTATGTTTAGACTCGGATCATGGTTTGGTTCTAGCACGTATTTGTCTGCGTCTTAATGAACGCGAAAAAACCACAGTAAGAAAACCACTTCAAGTTCAACTTGATGAAAAGTCAAGAATATATCCCAGGAACAACTAGAGAGGCAATTATTCAACTATATAAGTGATGTCCACCCCGAGGTAGTTTGACATAGCACTATTTAGAGGTTGGCTGATAGAAATGGAAGTTGTCATTGATTCAGTGTCAGTGTTACTTTGGTTTATAAGATAAAACTACGTTTACCTGAAAGGTACAAATATCAATTGGGCCGTCAGTTTTATTTAAATTGATTTAAATACCAAAATATTTGAAATGTATAAAGCTGTTTATTCCGTAAGAACGTGAAGGAGTTCATTTAGAATCTCCACTGAAACGGTTGTTTGATACATTCTACATCTCAGTAGTTCGTCTTTGTTATAGCCCAAAGCCGCCAATCAGAAACAGCGAATTATCGATCGGACCAAGGACGCGTAAAACACTTGCGAGAAGCCTAGAGCCCTGATTGGTCCTGCTTTCCTCCTAGCCCAGCCAGTTGAGTCCAAAACACCAGTCTCAGCCTCTGCAATACGAATATGAATAGTTTAGTTACTTACCAATAAAATATACGTTTAGTATTGGTCCATAAAAGGATCCCAAAGTTACCATTCATTATGTTTATCGAGACCTAACAATCTTGAAAATGACTATTATACATTAGTTAATAATTAATTAAAAATCATAATAATTAGAGCTAACAATGTTCGGCTTACTTTTAAGGTAAACTTTGATGATGGACAGAAATAGTCTAATTCATAGTGTAAATTTAAATTCCAGATAGATTGAGCTGCCAGTAAACACGTTTCTACATCACGTCCAAGAAAACCAATAGAACTGTCAACTATTACAAGGTGATATAAAAATAAATACGAAACTAAGTAATTTTTTCGGACCATTGATTAGCAAACTTGAATGTTACTTCAAAAAAGGAAAATAGTAATCACAGACTTATATCATTCAGAGGACCAGCGTAAGTTAGAGAAATAGGATAGGTGTGTTTCGTTCAATGGTCGATCTTGTCAACAAGAGATATCCGGAATCCCATTGGAAATTGAGCCTAGGACTCGCAAACCTCAAAGTAAACGCAAAAGATTTATTCAGATTTTCCAGCTTGCCTTTTTTCAACTAAATCAATATTTGGAATTTGTCTTTAAACATAAGATTTAGAGTAATTTTGTATGAAGCCAAAATGTCTTAAAATTATGGATCGTTCTAAATTAGACCACCATTGAAAACACGGAAATGCTGGACGGATGTTCGTCCTAGTATAAGACTCCTCGGAAGCACGCACTCACGATCCCCCAGGCGCCAATCGAACCCGGAACCTTCAGTTTCAAGTGTGAATGCTTAACCTTTCGATCATTGAGTCAGCACCCATCGGTGTAAATGTCTAACTTCATTCCATTCGCGGGTCTATTGGTGAGGTATCACCTTATTAAAGCAATCCAGTGTGGTTCAATCGGATTTAGAATTCATGTGGATGGATATGAGGACAAATATTTCAGAATAGTATAAAAATGATTACATTTTGTGCGCTACAACCCTTCTACCTTGAATGTCAGTTAGGTCTGAGTCATTATCCAAGTTATTCAGTTCAGTCCTTTCAGGTTTACAATAGTTATTCAACTTAGATCGGTTTTTGGTTTACTTAACATTCGATAATCTCCACAAACCCGCCACTAGTATGAATACCTTCACTATGTTTTAATTTCATTTGGTTCTTATACTTATTTTTAAGCTGAAAAGCATTTATAAAATTACATAACTGTACACTAAGGTAATGGTAAGATTTTCTTTTATACTGACCGGTGCTCCAGCTAATAAATCATTAAGACTGATTTCAACGAACTATGCAATTTAGTGCAGAAAGCAAAACAGAATTCGAAAGTGTGGTTAACTGAAAATAACTACCAATGTGAGCTTCAAATGCGTAATGTGATAAGTGGAGAAAATGAATATTTTCTTCCACCCAAAAATCAAAGGTAGCTTCGGTCTGTACTTTTTAAATGTGAGAATCCACTTTACTAGTGTTTTCTATACCTGTGTACCTTCAACCATTGAGGAAAGTTCACAAATGACCAGCTGAACAACATAATGGATAGAATTATTTATGGATAATGTAATATAACTTATTTACCAAGCAGATTTATTTACTCAGCTTTGGGCCATTATACTGTTTGCGTGACAATAGGTGAACTCAAATCTGCGACCTAATTGTCGAGAGCAGTGTTTTAGGCACTAAGTTACTGCTCTGCTATGAATAAAGACTTAGGGAAAAACAATAAGTTGTAAACACTCAAGCCGTTTGATGTAAAGTAGGCTTATTGACCAGTAAGGGAAATGATAACCAAATTCAAGGTCAGGGAAAATGATAATTTTCACAATGGGAATCTAAAATGATAATAGACACATTGGTCACTTAGTAGTGGCCAACATCATGTCTAGTCTTTAGCACTGAACTAATGCTATTAAACAAGGTGTAATATAACTGAATATCAGTGACATTAGATCATGACTGACTGAGGTGACAAGAGCTCAGTGACAATATTCCTAATTAAGACACAAGAGGCGACAGTCCCATCAAGTCTGTGGGCGTGCCTATATAACGTGCTAACTAGCGTGAAAATTGGTTCAAGCATTCTGTTAGGGATGCTGAGGAATATACCAATCATTATCATGTTAAGTCTAATGATGTCCTTGGACTCTAAATGGGCATTCCCTATTGGCCATTATTTCACTCGTTAAATATTGTACAAAATGTTTTCTATTTTTATGGTACGATGTGGTCTGTTTGGTTGGTATATAAACAGAGTATGTTTGAAATATAACGATTCATATCTCAGAGGCTGTGACTTGCGTTCTGGACTCAACTGGCTGGGCTAGACAGGGAAGCAAGACCAATCAGAACCCTAGGCCGTTCTTACGTGTTACTGTAGTCGGTCGATAAAACGCCGCTCCATCTAAACTGCAATCCACACGTTACAACACATTCTTAGCAGTTGGAACCATTATGGATTTTCAGCTCAAGAGAATAAACAGATGGGTGGAACATTTTGAAGAACAGTTCGGCTAGTCTCAAGTTACCCAGCATTCTCACACATAACCTCAACGAGAAATTAGCCCAAGACCCCCAACCTTTAGTAAGGTCGAAAAGATCATATATAAGTTGAAGAGAACGGTAAGGCTTGAGAAATCAACTTTGGAGGTCTTTGAAGCTGACACTCCAGTTTTAACGGTCAAGCTGGACTTGTATTAACAGGACTACTTATTATGTAAAAAATTTCTCAATACTCAGGATCTTATGAATGAACGCCGATAAATTATGTTCATTTTATTTTACACGACGACAGAGAAATATATTTTGATTACATATCAACTTTTCCTCCACAACAGATTAAGTGCATTCATATAGAATTCCTTTAGGTTTTTCAAGTAAACATGTTACAGGTAGTATTCCTCACATACTGGTCTCAGTTGGAATAACAATCGAAACTGTGGGGCATGGAACAGCTGTTTGATCTGTAACCAACCAAACCTATAAATCAAATTAATCTCCAGAAATTCTGAGCAAAACGGATTAGTTAAAACCTATAATATAGCCATAGCTTACGATTTTATAATTTAATCGATATGACTTAAAATTAGTAATAGTAACTCAGATTCATAGTTTAAAAAACGGTTTCATCCAGCTACTTCGTTGTGCACTCTTCCACGAGGAACTAAGGACGGATTTCCGATGAATTCAGGAAATAGGAACTGTTCAAGAAATCATACTAGTTCGAGTAAACCATATGTAGACCGGAGTTAATAACACAATAAAATAATAATTATAATAGTATAGAGAACGAGAACTCAGAGGGGGGAACAACCAATTTATTGTTTGATGTAAAATCAAACTGTGGTTTAGCAAAACGTGAAAATCACACATTAAACACATCCTCTTTGAATTGTCTCTTACAAGCTTCATTGTTTTTTCATTCCTGTTATCTTGATTGCTTTCAGTTCCCTTCTCTTTTCATTTCAATCTTATCGACCTTTGCTCGCAGACATTCCACTCCCGATTGGTGTTACATACTACTTATATCAGCAAACATACGTAGCATACACCACAAGTTACAAAATAAACTGTCACAACTGTGAAAAATACTGAATCGAACAAAGTAACCAATTCAATAGTTCGCGTGAATACCAGTTGAGTGTAGCAAACATCATAACATATCTTCAGCCACACTAAGCTATGCGAACACACATGTTCTATTAGGATAACGTTGAAATTTTCATAGAACAAGGGCTAGAGAATTTCCGCAAAATATGGTAATCGTCAGTTAATAACTATAATGAAACAAATCCAATCTGCCGCTTAATTATAAACGCTTACATGGTTAAAGCTAAGTTTAAAAAAAATTGAATCAAAATAAATAATGGT